GGTGCCTTTGTTAGCATTCAAGTGCTTGCATGCTCAATGATAAGATTCTCCAAAACACATCAAAAGGGGGGCTGCAAATTGAAGTCATAAAATTCCCCCCATCCAAAAGTGCCTACAAGGTTCATAGTCTCGCCTTTTATGTCCAAATTCTCACAACCAAGAGAACATAACATGTGTACGCAATATTTTACAACTCTTTACCGTCACAAAAAATCAAACTACACTTTTCCAGATATTTACGCCATGATTTTTTTAATTGTTTTTGCTTGCATAATGAAATTCACGGCCAACTATGTGGTCCTTATGGGTTCTCGACGTGGTTGTTTTGGGGGGACCTCTAGGATCATCAAGATTTAGTGGCTCGCTTCACCGGTTGTATCGACAATCATTCCTTCCCACTGGTTGTGGAATGTATAGACCACCATGATGCTAAAGAGGCACTAGGTGGTGCCTTTCTTTCGAAGACGGCGGTTGTGAGTCTATGTTCTTCTTGGTTTTGTTTTCTTTTAGCTTTTGTGTTGGTCGTGTGTATTCGTTGTGTGCACCAGCATTTTCTCACCATATTGTGCAGAATGGAATTATTTGTTTTTTTATCAAGTTGATACATTAACAAAATTACCATTTTTCAAAAGGAAAACTCTTTTCTCTAAACTTTTGAAAAGAATATATACATAAGTAGTCCTATATATCTGGTTGAGACGCGAGATTTCACATTTGTAGTGCACCAATGCTCTCTCATCGTGTTGCGTAGAACTGAATTATTTATTTTCAAAAGGGAATACATCTAGATGTCTAGGCATTAACAAAAGGGAATGTCTAGGCCACATCGAGATATGTTCTAGTTATTGCACATCTAGGTGACTTAATCAAACATAAAAATAAATAAAAAGGAAAGACTTGCATGCGCAACACTTAGAGCACATCTGAATGTAATATCAATGGCATAAGACGACGGTTGTGCGTCTATGCTCTTTTTCGTTTTTGTTTTCTTTTAGATTTTATGTTGGTCTATTCGTTATGTGCACCCACATTTTCTCATCATGTTGTATAGAACAGATATATTTATTTTCATCAACTTGATACATTGACCAAATTTCCATTTTTCAAAAGAAATAACTATTTTCTCAAAGCTTTTGAAAAATCGATAGACATGACTAGTCCTATATCTTATTGATATGCAAATTTTCACGCCCGTATACATCATGTGCACCAATGCTCCCTCATCTTGTTGCGTAGAATGGATTTATTTATTTTTATCAACTTGATACAACAAAATCTTCATTTTTCAATAGGAAAAAACTGTTTTTTTGAAACTTTTATAAAAAAACATAGACATAACTAGTCCTATATCTTGTTGACATGCCATCGTAAATATGAACGTTTGTGCTTTGTAAATTAATAAATATGTAGACATCGATATGATATTATTTAATTTATTGCAGATTCCACAAATGGTAGTAAATTTTTATGACATTTTCTGTTTTTTCCTTCAGTTGTTTAGAAACTCAGAATGTTCTGCACAAGTGGTTGCTCAAAGTACACTTGGAGGCGTCAGAGATATATCTCGCTTATAGCGAGATAGAAGCTCCCCTCGCCTGAAGATTTTCGGGTAGCTACGGCGTGGACTGGCACATATAGATATTATTGTAGAACAGGTTTTGAGTGCAGTTTTTTCTGTACGTTTTCTGTGTGTTCTTTATCATTTTTTTTCCATTTTTGCACTGGCTTTCTCCGGTATTTTTTTCCCTTCGTTGTACTTTGGTTTTTTTTTTCTTGGGTTTCTTTTTTCCTGAAGCGAGGTGACCTAACTTTCTCGCGTGAAGCGAGACATAGATGAACCCGCTTAGAGTCAGATGGCCCACCCAACTCAACCTACAAACACCTCCAGCTAGCATAAGCCCTTGAAAAGTTAAAATGCATCCTGGCCTATTTAACTTCAAAAAGATAAAGCCCAGTCCAGTTATTGAAACAAACTGGCAACTGTTGGAATGCATTTTGGCCTACTTTATTTGGGCCGCACACCTATCGGATCAGCTGACAAG